GGGGGGGGGGGGGATGTTATGTATTCAGTTAATTGTTAGAGATCAGTGTCAACAGGCGGTTGTATGGGGTTAAAGATGGCGGTAGCGTGAAATATACAACAGTCAATGTTTGAGGATCTATGCAGCCTCGTACCCAGGCTCTTTAGTAATTAATAGTAATATTAATTAATGTTGACAGGACAACTTAAAACATATGATATGTCAAATGTGTATATATGCGTTAATAAATCAACTGATTTGCAATTGCATTACTAACAACTGGTGTCTCATATTACATCACAAAGCTTTTTGCGCGATATATATATATATATATATATATATATATATATATATATATATATATATATATATATATATATATATATATATATATATGTACAGTATTCAGTGGCAAGCTAGCCATGGCAACTGGTATAATAAACCTGCATCTATTTGAATAATTTCGTTCGCAAGTTAGGTCATGCCCAGCACCTAATCTGCGGGCATACTCCGGGCTCAGTGGGCTGTTTACACGATGCATGGAAGGTGGGATGATTTTGATGTATTGAAATACGTCACTAGACTAAACGAAAGTTCAAATGCTGGTTAACCGGACTCAAATGTTGTAGAGAAGATCATGTGGTTCAAGAAGATTTTTATAGCTTTTTGAACAACCTTTCGTTTACAGTTAAAGACTTAAAGATCTAGACCATTCAAGTCCGTTCTGCGCATCGTTTCTGCTCGTAACAAACTGGGACCCACAGATATCTGACATTGCCCAAATTTTGCATCTTTCGAACTTTTTTGAATTGAAACGTACTCTAGTTTATATTCATTTACAATAGCGAACCAGAAAAGTGTTAGATGCAGTTAGTATGTCTTATTATACAAATATAGCAGTTCAAAATGTAACACAAAGTGTCAAAGGATTTGTTTTTCATTATGGACTTGACATGGTCTTTAACTATAATTTTTTGCTGAACGATGCATCGTGACTTATTTCAATATATCGAAATCATCCGGCCTCATATCTCGTCCTGGCAAAGCGGGATCATATAAACAGCCCCTTATTCGGCAAATTGCGCATGCTCCCTTGCCTTTGATCACTTGGGGGTGAGGCAGCACTTTCTTTGCCATAGTAACTTCTAGCCTAGCCTGCATAGCAGCAATGGTCGAAAGCTTTGCCAAAGCAAAGAAATAAACGTGTCCACAAAACAAAACAATTATAGTCAAAGATCTAATATTAAGTGTTTTATAACAATGGTATACTCAAGATAACGAAATATCTTTAATTAAAAAGTACAATACACTAATTATTGAAAAAAAAAACACAAAATGCATGACGACGTCAGTCTATCTTTTTATCTCCAAATTACGGAAAATAAAAAGATTTCGAAAATTATTTAATTAAATATATGTTTAGCATTGGCGTAATTGGCTGAATGTTCATATAAAGTCTTGTCATAGTGTGATATTTGCCCATGGGCATGTATCTTGGAAAACAGGAGAGTTTATACTGTAGTGCCAACGAAATTCAAGTCAGCAGTTAATAGGCAGAAAGAACATGTCAAACTGTAACTATAATAATTTACTGGACACTTTTTCTAGCCTAGCCTTTTCTAGCATATTGTTGATTCGTTTCACTATATAACGACTGTAACGTATTATACAGAAAGTTGTCCAGCAAGCAGGCGCTCTTGCTTTATGTAGTTGGTTTAGTTAAAATTTCCTCCTGTGCGGCTGATAACACACTAGCTGGACCTTTAGGGAGAAGAGTTTAGAACTGATGTTACTGATAATATACACTTATACAGGCTAAAGTTTCCTGTATAGCTTTTCTACTTACATAATAAAAGGCTTAGGCTAAGTATTTTTTTATAATAACTGAACGGCTGAAGTATTTTGTTTTTAATTTTCTTTGTTCAGAAAAAGGGCGGCAAAACAATTCCTACAGACAGAATGTCTGTATATATACGCCCCCACAAGCTTGCAATAATAGTTCGCTACTGCTATACGTGCAGTATTGAAATTCTTCAGAGATATATTGTGTGCTATTTGGGTCTGCAACTTGCGAGGCGCCCAAAACATGCGAATCACTACATATGAATATATATATATATATATATATATATATATATATATATATATATATATATATATATATATATATATATATATATATATATATATATATATATATATATATATATATATATATATATATATTGGCGTAATTGGCTGAATGTTCATATAAAGTCTTGTCATAGTGTGATATTTGCCCATGGGCATGTATCTTGGATATTTGCTCATGGCCATGAAAACAGGAGAGTTTATACTGTAGTGCCAACGAAATTCAAGTCAGCAGTTTATAGGCAGAAAGAACATGTCAAACTGTAACTATAATAATTTACTGGACACTTTTTCTAGCCTAGCCTTTTCTAGCATATTGTTGATTCGTTTCACTACATAACGACTGTAACGTGTTATACAGAAAGTTGTGCAGCAAGCAGGCGCTCTTGCTTTATGTAGTTGGTTTAGTTAAAATTTCCTCCTGTGCGGCTGATAACACACTAGCTGGACCTTTAGGAAGAAGAGTTTAGAACTGATGTTACTGATAATATACACTTATACAGGCTAAAGTTTCCTGTATAGCTTTTCTACTTACATAATAAAAGGCTTAAGTATTTTTTTATAATAACTGAACGGCTAAAGTATTTTGTTTTTAATTTTCTTTGTTCAGAAAAAGGGCGGCAAAACAATTCCTACAGACAGAATGTCTGTATATATACGCCCCCACAAGCTTGCAATAATAGTTCGCTACTGCTATACGTGCAGTATTGAAATTCTTCAGAGATATATTGTGTGCTCTTTGGGTCTGCAACTTGCGAGGCGCCCAAAACATGCGAATCACTGCATATGAATATATATATATATATATTCATATATATATATATATATATATATATATATATATATATATATATATATATATATATATATATATATATATATATATATATATATAATTTCGCTTACCTCAAAATTCCGCAACAGTCTGTTTCATCACTAAAGAATCACTATGATGATTCTGATGATTCTTTACTGATGAAACAGACTGCATGTTGCGGAATTTTGAGGTAAGCGAAATTCTACATTTGCTCTATCTTTATGATATTGAGCACTCTTTGCGTTTCGTATACATAAACCTACTCGTATATATATATATATATATATATATATATATATATATATATATATATATATATATATATATATATATATATATATATATATATATATATATATATATGAATGAAGGTAGCATTTTAACATTTAAGTCTCTGTTCAGGTAAAATTCTTTCACATCCGACACCCCCAACTATGCAGCTGCCGTTGGCAAAATTCCTGAATATATATCATGCAATTAAATGTTTTCGACGAAAATCTGCCATATTTGTCCTCTCGTGGATCGTTGCGAAGTCCCTGGCCGATAACCTTTTACCGTATAAGAAAAATGGCGATTATACAGTTTTCACGAAGAAAATACGGGCGATTAACGGTGAAGGAGACAAAAATAGGACGGTTTGCGGAACAACCAACCGCCTACACTAATATACCCCTCTTTATATTTTTTGAGACATTTATTGAGTTTTATCAGAATAACAGTGGTAATTTTATCTAATCTTATTCATTTATAAAAGAAATAACTGAAATTCCATATTTTAATTTGATCATGAAAATCAATATAATTGTTTCGTTTCGGCATGCAGAAGACCACTACTGCGGTTTATCGGTTGAAGTACTCTGCCATTGTAAAATGCAATTAATTTGATTGAGCTCGTCAGAGCTTCTGATCTACAGGGTGTCCCAAAAAAACGATTACCATTGAAATCACCAATAGCAATTTAATTGTTAGAATTTGAATGCCTTAGCGCTCTGTTGGTTTCCACGAGTGCATAAATGATTGACATAAGTGAATTTTATGCATAGAGAAACGGTATAAGAAGCTGTTTTTAATTCCCATGAGGAGCAGAAAATCGCGCACTTTACCAGGAGATATTCCTAACTAAATTCTAATACATGAACCTTGTCAATATTTTACGCATCATTACGTCCAGCTGTTTGGTAGGGCATTCAAATTTAACAATAAGTGATTTCAATAGTTTTCGGGTTTTTTGGGACACCCTGGCAAGTGTATAGACGTGATGCCTTTCCGGTGTCGATTTGTTCACATGCAAATTTGACGTATACTCAGTTGACGAATTCGTCCCGACTTGGTGCGTCAGACGTAAACACGAAACGTAAAATTGTGCAATAACAGCAATATCACGCCAACATGAGCTCCACCTTTGAATTTACTTTATGAGTAAATTGTTAAACACATCCGAATTTATCAACATGATAAATTCGCGGCACATTTTGAAATTATCAATAGAATAAACGGTAAAAGCACAAGCATTAGACAAGACGTTTTGTTCTAAATTTAATCGCACTAAAAAGGAGGCTGGTCGCGCCGAGGTGGGGAGATTTCAAAAAAAAAGTTTAAAAAGTTACGTGGGGTTAGGGGTTGGGTTGGGGTTGTGCGCCGCGAATTTATCATATTGATAAATTCGGACGTGTTTAACAATTTACTCATATAGTAAATTCAAAGGTGGAGCTAAATATGCTGATCACGCACAATTTCAAATTCAAATACAAAACAACACACAAGCAAAAAATTTTGAAATTAATGGAGAAATAATTTTTGCATATTTATAGGAAGATATTTTAAACCTTGTTTTGACATAGCTAGTTTATACTTTGAGCCACTGAGTCTAAGCCTGATCAGACATTTATTGAATTTAAGACAAAAAAGAAAGAATAACATAAATAATCTTATTATAATCTTATTCATTCCTAAAATAAAAATAACTGGAATTCCATGTTATCATAAAGATCAATATAATTGTTTCGTTTCAGCAGGGGTAGTGCATGTGCAGTGTATTCGTACCCTCGTAGAAAATACATCTAAATCTGTAGAGAAATTGGGGGTCGGGGATACAATTACATTCTCGAAGCTATAAGACTGACTAAGTCTCGACCTGGGACAACGAAGATTGAGGAGCTTGATGTGTAAAATCAGGTTAACGCATTTGTATATTCTTGGGTTTCATATGACGTCACAAAAGTGACGGGGGGTCAACTCTAAAACAAAACACAGTTATCAGATTGTTCGTTTTATGTAATGTATTAGCCTCATGTTTGGTGACAAATACGTGGAATTTCGTATCATTTTCTCACTACGTACAGCATAAGCATCAATACATTTGAGGCTGACCCCCCGTCATATTCACTGCATAATGCCGTAGTGAAACCCAAGGATATGGCTCCAAGAAGAATGGATTTAGTTTAGATTTCATGACTGTTAAATGGCATGTACTGTATGTCATTACCAATTTACCATAGCACTGAATATTTCTTGTCAAATTTATTCTGTATCTTATGAAAAGTATTGCAATTTGAGAATGCAAGCAATGGTGTCTCACATCATTTATATGTTTTGCTATTTGAAAAAGCCACAGTCACATTGTTATTTTGCAACCCCTGCCGTCGCCTAATGCATGCAGAATAGATAACAAGCCGATGATTTAGAATAAAGAATTTCTTTTTACTTGATCATTTGAACTCGGTCTCCCAAAGAGATCGAGATGAAAAGATATAACAGACGCGCGAGCTTGTCTGCTATAACTAATTATGCACTTTAATATATGCATGGGAAATATACGGCATACCGCATACGATAAAACGCGGACTGGACTGGTAAAACGCAGACTGGACTCAGATTAACGCGCGAGCTTGTCTGCTATAACTAATTATGCACTTTAATATATGCATGGGAAATATACGGCATACCGCATACGATAAAACGCGGACTGGACTGGTAAAACGCAGACTGGACTCAGATTAGTAAAACGCGGACTGGACTCAGATTAGTAAAACGTGGACTGGACTCTATTAGTAAAACCATACTAAAGTAATTAGTTTAAAACGCAAATTTGATTACTAATATCCGACTGCAAGCTAGGGTAGCTCAAGTCAAGTCTAGAAATTGACTCGACTCGACTTAAATCAGTGACTCGATTTGACTCGAGTGAAGCCGCTGACTCGACTCGAGTGAACCCACTGACTCGACTCGACTCGATCAAAAACTGAAATGACTCGACTCGTGACTCGATCTTTGAGTGACTCGACTCGACTCTACTCGTGGCTCGACTCGACTCGTGGCTCGACTCGACTCGTGACTCGACCTGTAGGTGACTCGTTACAACACTGTTAAATTAGTGCATGCAAGCACGGCTGACAAACTGCTAAAACTACGCGATAAAAGCTGGATAAAAGGCTTTTAGTTTCATTGCAACAGATGATTTTCTACTGAACAAAGACAACAGCAAGAACATGCTTGAAAAATGCTTTTTGAAGCCTCTCCGCAACTAAAATTGAAGCCTCTCCGCAACTATAACCGGCAGGAATAAAATTGAAGCCCCTCCGCACTAAAATCAGCTTTAGGGACTACAGAGCACAGAATAAAGTCAAATTTCAAAAGAAGCTTGAAGAGAAAAGTTGGTCTGAAGTTACGTCATTGGAAACAGTTGAAGAAGCAACTAGAGTATTGGAGAACACTATCCATAATACGATAGATCAATGTTTTCCGAAGAAAACAGTTACTCTTTCTACTCGTGACCCTCCATGGATGTCTCCACTCTTAAAGTATTTAATAAGAAAAAGATCAAAGGCTAAGTCAAAGAGAAAGCTATCTATTGCTGCAGAATTAACAGAACGAATATCTGGAATAATTTCACATAATCGAACAAAAATGGCAAAGTCCGAGTGTACTGGCACAAGTTAATGGCGGAAAAACGTTGACTTTTTGTCACATAGAAGAAATCGAGCACATATTATACTTGACAACGAGTTCAAAGAAAACTTGAACGATTACTTTGGAGAGTTATGTTGAGATAGAGACTATGAACAGCCAACGTTGATGGAGATAGATTCAATCACAATAAAAGCTCCTCAGTTTAGCATAACCCAGGTCAAGAACGCTTTGTTGAAAATAAGGAAAACTGCAACAGGCCCTGATGAAATCCCATTTTGGGTATGGAAGGAAAACGCTGATGTATTTGCACCTGTTATGACCAAGATTTGGAATGAATCTCTCTCTACATCCACATGGCCTATCTCTTGGAAAATTGCTCATATAGATCCTTTACCAAAAGTCGAGAATCCAAAGGAATATTGTGAATTTAGAGGTATAAACGTCACACCTGTGATTGGACGATGCTTCGAAAGAACGGTTTATCATTATCATAGTAAAAGATCTTTCGAGGCTGAGTTATCATCTTCCCAGTTTGCTTATCGAATCGGTGGGTGTAGCACAGACGCCTTAATTAAATTACAGTATATGTACCTGAAAGCACTAGAAGAACCAAATTGTGATGCAGTGAGATTAATTGCAATGGACTTTTCCAAAGCATTTGACAATGTAAAACACGCAAAACTGAGTGAAAAATTGAAATCGAGTTCTATGAACCCTTATTTAGTAAATTGGTACTTAAATTTCTTAAAAATCGAATTCGAAGACAGAGAATAGTTTTCCAAGGAACGACATGCAAGTGCAAAGATATTAACAAGGGAGTTATGAAAGGAACTGTAACCGGACCACATTTCTTTAATTTATTTATTAATGATTTGGAGATTAAAAAGTGTTCCAACACCCCCTTGTTAAATTCGCGGATGATTCCTCACTTTTGGTACCGATTTTGAGAATACCCAAGATTGTAGTTCTAAAGCTACAGATGAATTTAAGGACTGGTTCGAATCAAACTCTTTACCTTTAAATGAGGTAAATGTAAAGAAATGATTATATTAAGTGGTTTTATTATATGGTTTTGAACGGCACTCTAGTCTTGAAATACTGGGGCTAACCTTTGAAATGGCAAGCAGATTTGAGAAATGTGTTAAGAAAAAGTTGGTGAAAGCAAATAAATGCTTGTTTGTAATTCGAAAGCTGAGGAATGAAGGATACAGTCAAGACGAATTAGATCTTCTTTTTAGGTCACTGGTCCTGTCACAACTTACCTATGGCTTATCAGTTATTGCTGCATCACCATCAAAACTTCTTAACTCGTTGTTATAAAAGAAGATACACATCAGAACAAATAGATATTAATATACTGTCTGTTAGAGCAGACAGATAGAAAGCTGTTTGAAAAGCTGTGTAAACAAAACAATCATCCGTTAAGAGAAATCTGTCCAAAAATTAAAGAATATACAGTTAAACTTAATAGAACACAAGAGGCACAGTGGCCAAACATTTCTACCGAGCGTTTTAAAAATAGTTTCATCAATAGATGTATTTTTAGATATAATTTAACTTTGCAATTTTGAATATAACCTAAAAATTTTTAATGTTAAAAACTTGTAATATATTTTAAAAATTGTTTTGTAACACTTGATATGTAATTTATCAATTGATTAATAATAATAACAATAATAATAATAATAATAATAATAATAATAATAATAATAATAATAATAATAATAATAATAATAATAATAATAATAATAATAATAATAATAATAATAATAATAATAATAATAATAATGAAAACTTTATTAAATGGATAGTTAGCTTATATATACAATTGCAAATCTCACTTATATCAGGTAATTTACAACTGGCTACTTAAATCACTGATTATATATGCAAAAATTATACTATTAAGATAACAAAATGACAGTACAACGTTTAAACACTTAACAGTTCCGGATTCATCCGTTCCTTGTTTCGACAACAAAATATATAATACGTTGTTCGGATTGCAATCGTCGTCATTCTTCTAATACAGTAATTCTGATGTTGCTTTTGAAAACCAAAATCATTAAGCATTTCTATGAAAGTAGAACATTCTTTACTGAAAACACCAAGAGAACTAATCGAAAGATTTACAAATTTTACTGAGTTGAAATGTTCATTTTGTTCCCTAATTAATTCTTTATATTTTGATTTTTTACGCTCAACGTTTTTTGAAGATTTGATTCGAAGCCAACTGTAAGTTCAACAATATAGAGTGTTCCGGTTGAGGTTGAAAGAAGCAAATCTGGACGGTAGGTGTCACCAGTGATGATTGATGGACTTTTGTACCCTGGGAGATCCACGTAAAGATGTGAGCCGCTTACGGTCTGCAGGCTTGTTGCAAGAAAGTTTAGAACGGATCGGAGTCATGTCTCCACGTGAATCGTTCTAGATACGATTGGCAACCAGCTACTACGTGCAGAAGTGTTTCAGGAGCTAGACATCGCGAACAGTCTGAAGTCGGTGATAAACCCCATCTTGCAAGATTTTGGCGCGTTGGAAGGGAGTTATTGATGTATCGAACTGTAAAGTTGAATATATTTTTCGGAAGGTTCGATTGGCACGCAGACCAAATTTTAGTGAGTTGGGACAGTGAGAACTTTGTTATATTAGTGAAGAAAGAGCCTTGACAGGTTAATTGAGTGTGCAGTTTATCCTCTTGTCCAGAGCGAAAGTCCTTAAGAACTTGCTTAGTGGAGTTATAAACGTCATACTGAATATTTTTGCTGTTGCTAGTTGCTTTCCAAAGATCGTTAATTGCTTCGTTTGGGGATGTTTTTAGGGCTTTACGGAGAACAGTTTGACATTCAATAAATTTGACAGATGGGGGACAAATACTGAGGCCAAACTTGTTGCGGGTTAGGAAAACAGTGCTTAGCGTTCCAGATATAGGTATATCAAGCCATTTACGGATATAACTGTTGACTTTGGAATAATAATAATAATAATAATAATAATAATAATAATAATAATAATAATAATAATAATAATAATAATAATAATAATAATAATAATAATAATAATAATATGGCTACATATTTATGGCTACCTACTACAAATCTCTGGCTACTATATATATGAAAGATTTTAAGGATTTATAAACTATTGTTTGTTCAAAGTCGAGTATTATCATTATAATTTTAGTCAAATGTCCACAATATACCTTAGCCTACAGTCTAAAATTCGCGCAGTACTAAAGCGCAGCGCTGGGTGCGCAAATTTTAGTACTGCGCGAAATATAATCCGCGCGCAAAACTTTGTGGTAGTAAAAATAAATGCGCACGTTCAAAATACCAACAAGAATTAAAACATTTATTGTATGGTTCTCGTATTTAGTAATACAATAATAGTACGATGCGAATTTTAACAAGTAAGGTATGGTATTATATTTCATTATATAACGAACAATGTAAACTAGGGATACATTTCGCCACAGTTAATAGACTGATTTCGCTGACATAACTTCGGCCCTTTTGGACGTATATTTTTCGTAAAGTTTCATTCGAAGCAGAATCCAAAACACTATTTAGAGTGTTATTTTCAAGCTTGTATCTTCAGATTTTCATCTTTTATTTCGGTATTCACAAAATACTTATGTTTTTGGCCGGTGAAACGTATATCAAAACAAAGCGCTATTTACATCCTAAGGGTCTGGGAAAACCGAAAATCGATTCTACAGATCAAAGTACTCCAAGTGATTGCACGTGCATCGGGCTATATATGGCCAAGCATACACGTGGCGCGTGCGTGCGAGTAAAAACTCGATATTTTGAAAAATTCAAAATAAATATTTTTGCTCTGTGCCGTATTCAAACGAAACTTTCTACATGAAAGCGCTTGAATACAAGGAGTATTTTACTCACATGACTCTGAGCAAATTCTGAAGAGTTTTATAGAAGATAATCGCTTGCTGTGTTTTAATAGGATTTTATCAGGCCGGGCTGAAATTTCAGCCCGGGAAACCGGGATGAAACTCAGCCCGGGCTGAAAACTCTCCATGTAATCAGCCCCTTACTGACAGTAGTCTACCACTGACAAGTAAAATCATCTGGCGTTACACGTGCAGTGTGTAAATTTGTCTGGCGTTAGACAGAGTCAGCTAATAGGTTTATCCACTTTTGACCCAATGGCCTCATTTTCATGTTGGTTAATTATAAGTTTATGATTGGTCTTAAATGATGAACGAGAAACAAATTTGTGCAGGAAACATACGGCATATAACCGTCATGTGCAGGCCTGCTATGCTAACAATGCTGAAACGTGGAAATGAGCACATTGTGTCAAAAGTAAAAGGCTTCCCTTTACAAAATTGTGTAGAATTATAAACTTTTGCATTCAGTTCATTTGGTAAAAAGGCAGCACTTTCCTTGCGATAGTAACTCCTAGTATTTATTTTTTTCACATTTTGGTCGGAGAAAAGTACATTTCGGGCTGAAGTATAGATATAGGGTCGATTTTTCAACTTTTTGGGTAGTGTTTTGAGTTTGAAAATTGTCTTCACTCCTCGGTTTGTTGCTAAAAAAATAACTCTTTTGGACCACGGTCAAGATATCGTAAAAAGCTGCCCGCTGCTACAGCCAATCAGATTGCAAGAAATCAAAAAGTATCACTAAGCATGCACAAATAAAAAAATAAAGAAAGTTATGCAGCAAGCAGGCTATTCATTATATCCATGTGTGATTCCGCATGTTTTGGCCTGGCTTGCAGACCCAAAATAAACATAATATCTCTCTGAATAATTTCTGAATACTGCATGTATCACTGACTAGTTGCAAACTTGTGGGGGAGTACAGACATCCTGTCTGTAGGAATTGAAATTTTAATTGCTGCCCTTTTTCTGAACAATGAAAATCAAAAATAAAATACTTAACCTAATTATGAGTGAGTCCTTTTATTATGTAAATACAAGAACTGGGGAACCTTAGCTTATATATACGTATATACTATATCAGTTATTCAGTTCTAAACTTTTCTCCCCAAAGGTCCAGTAAGGACCGTCTTTCGTTGGTCCATGTCACAGGCTATACAGGAGGAAACCTTAACAAAATTTAAACAGATCAGTTACTGTATTGCCTGTAAACCAAGAGCGATTCAGTGAAGGTAACATTTTAACATTAATTTAATTAGTTCCTATATGCTGGTAAAATTCTTTCACATCTTACACCCCAACTGCAGATGCTTTGCAAGATTCCTGAATATACATATATATATATATATATATATATATATATATATATATATACTATATATATATATATATATATATATATATATATATATATATATATATATATATATATATATATATATATATATATATATATATATATATATATATATATATATATATATCAGTCAGTTAAATATACTTCTCAACGAAAATCTGTCCCTTTGGCTTTTGCCCTCTCGTCGTTGCGATGTCTCTGGCCGATAAACTTTGACTGTATAAAAAAATGACAGTTACGGTTTTCTTTAATTTAATAGTTTAACTTAAAATAACATGTTTTAAATTCAATTTTATGTTTATGTATATCCAAAGATTTTCTTTCTAAATTCTTGCTTCGAAAATTATTGCTATATATACCATCATTCTGTAGACTTTGGCACACTCAATATCTAATGGGTAAACTAGTCAGTTTAGCATGTAGCAAGACAAACGATTTGGGCAATGAAAACTTAATCTTTATAGCTTTGTTTGTTGTTCTCACTCTTACTCAAATTCAATATGGCGGATT